GGTGCTTATGAAGGAAAAAAAGAAAAATAGTAGAAGAAATAAATATACACTGCTCCGCATATTATATCACCTATGAATTCTGCAAAAACTCTTCTCCTAAGATGTATTCGAAGAAGCCTCTATATGGAAAAGGTTGTAGGTATAAATGCTATTTTGCACACCAGCACAGAGTTCCAGCTTTGAAATTTGAAGGAAGTTTTTCTGCAATTTTTCGAAAAGCCGCTCTGACCTATTCCGCATAATTATAAAGCCACCCCATACTTTCTCGTTGCCTTTCCTTCCTGCTCGATTGAATTTTTTTGTTATCCACACTTCGTCTTTAGGTGAAAACGAGAGGGAAACCGTCATCATAATTTGAATAAAGGCAAATGGTAACAAAAATCGTGAAAGAGTTGAGAGGCAGTCGCACTGCCCGAATTTCGGGCCAAGTTTGCTTCAGAGTAAACAATTTCTTCGAGCATTGTGCAGGATATGGAGTAAAATTGAGCCTTGGAGATCTTTCTTTGCTTTCGGATTCAGATAAACGCCGCTCATAAGAAAATCAAACAGTTCCATCAAGTTGTGCTCGGAAATCAAACCTTATTTGGAAACTTAATTCTCCAACAGGTGTCTGTTCGGCGTCTGTGGCAGAACTGCAAGTTCATCCACGAGTGAGAAATGTAAAGCGCATTGTTTATGACAACAAAACATCTCAAAAACCGAGACAGTTTTGTCAAGAAGTGAAGCCGAGCCGACTGGAGTGAGGTCGGTTTTTCCTGTCATTTCCTACGCCTTGTCTGCCTTTCTCGAAACATTTTCTTACTCTAGATAACTTCTTCTTATGGAGAAGCGTATCCTGGAGATAAAGAACTTTGGAAGAAAGGCAGGTAAGTCGTGAGAAATGACAGGTAAAACCGCCTCACTCCAGTCAGCTCGGCTTCACTTCTTGACAAAACTGTCTCGGTTTTTGAGATGTTTTGTTGTCATAAACAATGCGCTTTACATTTCTCACTCGTGAATGAACTTGCAGTTCTGCCACAGACGCCGAACAGACACCTGTTGGAGAATTAAGTTTCCAAATAAGGTTTGATTTCCGAGCACAACTTGATGGAACTGTTTGATTTTCTTATGAGGCAGCGTTTATCTGAGTCACAAAATTTAATCGAGCAGAAAAGAAAGGCAGCAAGAAAGTATGGGGTGGTTGTATAATTATGCGGTTCTTCCGAAAAATTGCAGAAAAACTTCCTTCAAATTTCAAAGCTGGAACTCTGTGCTGGTGTGCAAAACAGCATTTATACCTACAACCTTTTCCATATAGAGCTTCTTCGAATACATCTTGAGAGAAGAGTTTTTGCAGAATTCATAGGTGGCTGTATAATTATGCGGAGCAGTGTATATGGGAAGCCGGAGAGAAGTTTACGGCGAGTTATGAAGAGTAAGAATAAGAATATTGAGCATAACACAAGAAATCGAGACGCTCGTTAGGCCCTTGCGAGACTACAGCCTGGTGAAGAGAAAAACCGCATCGTTAGGAGGCAGTTCCACGTTCCAAGGATGACTGGGGGAGCATTTGGGAGCGATATTGCGCATGTCGTATATCGTCACCAACTGTAGCTTGCGTTAAGCAATTTGCTAGGAGGCAATCCCACGGTCCAAGGATGCCTGGGAAAGCTTTTGGGCGTGAAGTCGCGCATGCCGCTTGGTGACGCCCACATTGCCGCTTGTATTGGGAAAAA